CGCTGGTGAGTCCGCAGGTTACTGCTCGTCAAGAATTTCTTGCCGCACACTGAACACTCGTACGGCTTCTCTCCCGTATGGGTTCGCTGGTGAGTCCGCAGGTTACTGCTCGTCGCGACTTTCTTGCCGCACACTGAACACTTGAAGGGCTTCTCTCCTGTGTGCGTTCGGAGGTGAATGCGCAGGGTGTGAGACTTTGCGAACGCCTTGCCGCACTCTTCACACTCGAAAGGCTTGTCTCCCGCTCGCTCCATCGTGGCGGCTGCGTGATGTCCTTGTGTACTCGTTGATCTCAGGTGAAAAGAAGAGAGAAATGACTAAATCTGCCACGTTGTGCTCCGCCGTATTGGCGTCCTCTGGCTGCATACGCCGGTGCTCGTACGTACCTGGTACTCCTCTGGGGGACGAGCTCGCTCTCCTTCACGTCCGTGGAGGCGGTGGCGCTCCGGGGGTCCTCGTAGGCGGCGAGTACGGCGACGGGGAGCTACGCGTTCCGGGAGACGGCCTCGCACCTCGCCACACGAGACTGCTGTGCTCGCTGGCTCCTGGCTCCTGCGGACGGATGACTCAGCCGGTTGGCACTGGCGACGTACCGCGAGAACCGAGGATGTAGCAGCAGCGGCAAGGGCCCCTCCGGAATCCCCTGGTGTGGAGGGAGGTGGCGGCACGGGACACGCGCGGAGAAGAGAGAGGGACGCTGGTCGGCACGTCGGATTGCCCCAGGCCTGGCCGCCGGAGCGCAGGGGAGGGGGGGGGGGGAAATCCGAGGCCGGGGAACAAGGCTGCACCAGGACCAGCCCGGGTTTCCTCTCACTCCGACCGTAATGTTTAAAACCCTTGACAATCGTTGAGAGGTACATCCCTCTTTGTAACAGACGCAAACGTGTGTTTGATAAAATAACGTTTATTTTCGTGCAGGACACTGCCCCTAGTTCATCCACTTTCACTTCCAACCGCGATGCCGCGATGGTGATCTGCAGCACTTTGTAGTAGTTGTTCGGGTGTACGAAAAATAAAACAGTAGAACGAAGCAGCTACAGTGCAGTCATTTATTCCAGGCCGTTATCGTAAAGCGAGACACTGCAAATCAGGATGGACAAACACATCATCAGGGAGCTATTTAAATCAACTTGACATAGCCGTCAGCGGGGTGGTCCCGCAGTGGTCGCTCTCGTGAGCGGTCAGGCCGACCGGGCCGTGCTAGGCGACACCCCACACCCCGTCCCAACTGAGCTCGGGGTGGCGGTCCAGGACGCAGGACGCACAGACCTCGGCGCCGCACCTGAAGGCCATCCGCAGCCGGACGTGGAGCGAGGGGTTGTCCCTGAGCACCGCCTCGACGGCGTACGCGTGCAGCCGGAGGTGGGTCGGGCGCCCTCCATGCGCTCCGGGGTCCCGCGGCCCGCGGTAGAACCCTGTCGGCGTGTGGGGCCTCAGGTCCAGCTCGAGCGTCCGCAGTGCCGGCGCCGTGCCGGGCGTCACCCCCAGCAGCAGGTCGTGGAGGTCCTGGAGGGCATCGAGGTCGTCCGGAGTCGTCCGAGTCATCGGGGTGGTCACCGAAATAGTTCCTGTCGGGGTATGCAGCACGACGAGGTGGCGCAGCGCGGGCAGCCAGGGCAGCGCGTCAGTCAGCGCTTCCGCCTCCTTCAGCCTGGACACGGACAGGAACTCGACAAAGGAAGGCCCAGGCGTCACCAGGGCCGCGACGCCGCCGTCTTCGTACAAATCATCCACCGGGTCTTTGAACCCTAGCGTGACCCTGCGCAGCTGCCTCGCCTGGCTCAGCAGCGCCACAGGACGCTCCGACGGATCGTCCAGGTGCATGACGAGGGTCGGGTCCGTGAGCGCCTTGCAGCCCGCCGCGGCCTCCACGCCGGCGACCACCTCGCAGGAGAGCTCGCGGAGCCTGGGCAGGCTGGGCAGCAGCGCGATGGACTGCTTCACCTCGTTGCAGTAGCCCGACTCGAGGTTAACCTCCTCCAGGGTGTCGGCGTGCGCCGCCAGCACGACGCGAGCGAATGAATCCGATAGCGAGTTTAGCATGCATCGGAAATACTTCAACGACGGTACATGTGACCCGTACGAGAGTAATCTAGAGAATGCAACTTTTCCGAATCTAACGTCGAGCGACTCGAGGTCGGAGCACGTCACCAGCGTCTTCAGCAGCCTGTCCGCACCACTGGCTTTCCTCTCGGCCTCCATGTAGCCTGAGGTAGACTCCAGGAGTTGTGAGGCCCAGATCTCAACGCGCCTCGCCTCAGGTGTCCGAGCACCTCCTGCTCCTGGTTGTGGACCAGCATGGCGTACTTGGTGAAGTCGTTCTTCTCAAACGGCATTTGCAAGACCAACTGCTCGACGGCGCACCTGGTGGTGAGGAACACCCATATGTGCACCTTCTCGCTGCACACCAGTCCGCGCAGGCACGGCGACAGGTTCGGCACGGCACACTCGTAGGGCTTGGCGTGGTCGATCCGCCGGTGGCGCCACGCGTCCGGGTGTAGGGCCAGCTCACCGAGCCGCTCGCACACGAGCCGGCAGGCGAGCAGGTCCTCCACGGAGAGGTGCTGCATCACCAGCACCAGCACGTCGTCAGGCAGCTGCTCCATGGTCTCGGCCTCCACGAGAAACACACACACGCATGAATGATTGAGCCGGAAAACTTTAGTGACGCGGAGCCTCGAGAGCTTCGAACACACGGGCTAGCGGCCCTACCTTAGGAGCCGGGGGTGCGACGGACGGGAGTTGAGTGCGGTGAATGGTGACTCGGTCTGGCTGTACCGTTTGGAGACCCACACCGCGCTGCAGGTGCGCTGCGACCGGCGACTAAGGCTGAGCAGCTGAGTCCGCCAGCCAACTACAGCACGATGTAGAAAGACTACATCTACTAGGTCTACATCGTGAACTACAGGCCTCTCTTCCTGGTCCCGGCCCGGCTTTCGTCCACCGAGGCCGGGGGCTCGGCCCGCCCCACGTGACTCGTGTCGTCCCCTCGGTCCTCGACAGCCTCCAGGATCTCTACCCCCCCCCCCCTCATCCCACCACTAGCAGGGCTTTCGGAGTCCTAAATGTCACCCCCCGTGTTCACCCAGGTAAAATGCACTTTGTATATGAGTGTATATGGCTTGTATATATTTGTATACAATTGTATATGGTGCCATATACAGCGGTATATAACTGTATACAGCACTATATATATTATATATGGTTTTGTATATGGCTATATATGGCGTCATATACAGTTGTATATGACACCATATATGTCCATATATACGACAATATATGGTGTATATAGCGCTATATATGGCTATATATGGCTATATGCCTGTATATTGTCCTATATATGGGCATATATGGTGTCATATACAACTGTATATGGCGCCATATATAACCATATACAGTGCCATATACAGTTGTATACAAACATATATTGTGTCATATACAACTATATATGGGTCCGTATATAACATATATTGTACTGTATATAGTCATATATGACACCATATACATACTGTATACGAAAAGTATACAAGCCATATACAGTTATATACAAGTGCCATTTACCTGGGCATCCATTAGCATTTTAAACTAATCAGCTTCAGCTCTTGCGACAAAAAATATAGAAGCAAACGAACAAGTGTGCGAAGAATTCTGATGATGTGCAAACTACTAAGTCTATTTCCAGTGAATTAATAGTGTAGGTGACCTTAGATCCG